ATTTACGCAATAGATTTGGCTACGACAGGATTTAGTTGATAGATGCATATATACTACTACTATATATCTCTATATACTATATAGTAATGTCAATAACAATGCTAAAAAGTTCTTTGCCCTTCTATATCATATTCCCATTCATATATTCATAGACAGCTATAGCAAAGTCTCCAAGTTGTTCTTTTTGAAAGCAAAGACAATTCACGTAGTTCACAGGCTGGCAGATGAGAGCACGCTCAATCGTGTGCTGCCACTTTGCATGTGCAAGGTTGCCACTCTATTTTGGTTTGAAAGCTCATTGTTCGTGTGGCAAAATATGAAACATTTAATTTTAATGGCAACATAAATGTCTCGTAGTTTCTATTTTTAGTACTCATGCTCTGTGAACTGAGCAAGGTTACCAGACTGCTGTAACTAAAGTACGTAGCTCCGGTAAAAACACCTGAAATTTATTTGGTGTCAACTTAATCAGGAGTAATGCAATAAATATAAAATCGAATGCCCCAATTGTTGTCCCATCAAGTGGCAGCTCTGTAACGGTGTTAAAGCCAAAACAAATGTCAAATAATTTTTGCTAAAGAGTAGAGTGATCATAGAGTTGCCACACTGCTGAATTTTTAGTTAAATAGTTTAAACTTTAATAATAAAAATGAGTTTGATCTTTCTTAGAGCTCAAAGTAAATCACAAATTTTCATAAAATTTGGTCTAAATTCGATTCAGTGTTGCCACATCGCTAAAAGTAGCCAACTTTCTTTGTCTAATTGCACTATCGTGTTGCCAGTTAAAGTGGAAATATTCGATTAAAATAATATATGTATATTCGAGTGTCAAGAAAATGGTAAATTGTTGGTGTATTTATAATTTATAATACTTTTTTTTTTGCCTTTGCCGTGATGTGAGCTTGTTTGGAGTGCTCATTATATTGCTATTATATATAGTATATCATTCACATGAACTACGGCTACGGCTTTGGCAGCTTATTTGCCAAAATGAGGTAATTTTGAATAGGTTTTACGCTTTTGCATTCACAATTATCATATTATCTTAATACGCGTAATAAAGCAGATAAATGGAAGTACACTAAAAACAATGATCAGCCTCTCACTTTTGTTTGTATATTTTTAGTGAGTGAGAATGGAACTTTGTATTGAATTCTTTACTGTTGACTATGTGAGCTGTTTAAGCAAAATAAGTGATCTTAAAACCTTTCTTTAATTCGAGCTTTAAAGATTGTACAGTCGAGATATGAGGGAATATCCAATGAGCTCTACGTGATTTGATTGTACCATATATTGAATTCGAATTGGCTTCAGCATATAAGTCTGTTATCAACGGTTAAATGATCGTTGCACTTGGTTTATGTTTCGTGAAGTGCAGCGCTGCTATTTTCATGAATTCAACTATATATATAATCTATAAATATATATAACTCTAACTTATTACATATATGTATAAAACTATTACAGTTAGATATATATATATATTGTATACATATGAAGTATACACTAATCTAGAGCTGATATGCCCGCGTGTATACTTATTTTGCTAGTGTCTATAGTTTCAATAATAGTGTTTCAATTTCAATATATGTATAGGAATTCCCCTTGCTATACTGCCGGTGTGTCAAATTCTTCCCTGAGTTATATAAATACAGTCGATTCCCGATAATTCGAAATGGCAAGTTGATTAGTTTTTATCGATTTACATAGAAATTCAAACTATCGAGTATTATCGAGAACGATTCTTTTTCAAGGGGATAGTATTTGATCGATTTATTGCGGTTTCTGGATTAGCGGGGCACACATTATCAAGACTCGACTGTCTATGGTATAATGGAGATAATGGAATGTATAACAGAATGACAACAATAATAAATGTAAAGGATTAACAACAAAAAATCTTCGTGTATCCAAAAATTGTATAAGTACACTAAAGTACGGTTATAATGACTCCGCTTACACCGTCCATACGGCTATTGCGATAAATATTCTAGTCCCCAGACAAATATGGCTATAGCTATAGCGGCTATAGCGTCGTCCGCTTATAACGACGGTCCCTTGAGCTCTACTAAGTATATATACTCCAATTCTCTAAATGTCACAGCCAATATACTCGCATCACTTCCATTGAACGAGCGTAGCGACAGCCTTGATTATAGCTCTTCGGACTCTGAACTACTTTTGAAGCAGCCCTCGTACCTATATTTGTGACGTCATCGGCGTCATTGCAGTCGACGTGCAAAAATGTAGCGCTGCCAAACTGTGCACAGCCACCCCCAACTCCTGCAACCCCTTTTATATGTATTCGCGTGTGTGTGTGTGTGTGTTTGTTTGTGTGTGTTGCCATATTGTTGCATTAATCAGCATTAAGTTGGCTGGAGCTGAAATGCAATGATTGCCGTATCGTCGCATCGTGTCGCATCGCTTGGTTGCTTTATTTGGCGCATCCGCTGCGGCGCTTTGTTCTTGCACACAAGCGCACACACACATGCACACACATACTCATACTCATACACATGCACTTGCTGCTGCTTGTCTGTGCAGTCATATGTTTCTTTGATCCCATGACCATATGCGCACGTATATCAAATTCTGTCCATTTCTGGCCATTGGCTCGCACTTCCGTTCCGCACACACACACACACACACACGCACGCAGACGGCTGAGAGTCCTGTGTGTGTGTGTGTAGTCGCTTACAGGTGCGACGACGTCGGCGTCGGCATCGCCGTCGACGTCACGCTTCAGCAACAGCAGCGCTTGAGAACAGCTGCGTCTCTTGTCTCTGTGGAGAAAGTAAGACGGCGAAATTTATGTTTATCGCTATAACTATAACCATAATTATATGAATATACAGAAAAGTGTATGTGTGTGTGTGCGTGTTTGTTTGTGTGTAGTCATCTCTATATAGAGCGACCTCATGCTCTGGCGTTTTCTTTTTGGGCTCACGCAGCTCGCAGCGCTAGAAGCCAAAAGGCGTGGAGTAAAATGTTTATGGAAAAGTGTTCATGGCAAAACGCACGCAACTTGGCTTGGAAAATTCATTAACCACACTGTGGCAACAACAACAACAATGGTTAAAGAAAAACCCGCAGCCGTCGAATGAAATAGACGAAGACTGAGAGAGAGAAAAAAAGCGGCCTAGAATTCAAATGTCTGTGCATAATTTTTATGCGTGAAAGCCTTTGAATTTCAATTAGAAGCATAAATGCATAATTTTTCTTCTCTTGTCTGCTGTAATTATCGATAACAACTTGCTGGCATTAAGCAGCATATCGATTGCCACAATTAGCATAGTCGCTAAGCATTGTGTTTAAAGTGATTAGCTATAGAAAATTGATTTGCAATTGACTATTGATTAACAAGCTTCTTAACAATAAATTGGCATATCGATAAATGTTCGCTTTGGCAAACTGTGCTAATAGATTGATAGATACGGATATATTGATATATGGTTAATGTTATCGATCACATTCGATAATCCATCCTTCAAAAACCAGTTTAATAACATGAATGAGGCATATCGATAAGTATAATATCGATCAAATCAGCAGCAAACTCTTAAGTTACGTTAAACTTATGAATAACATTCAGAAAATGCTATGTTAATATCATTTTACATATGCATATCGATCAATTATCGACATTGCTAAGTAGCTCCAGTGCTTAGCTAAACTTAGCAATTTTAGTTAATGGAAGTACTCTCTACAGGTAGATGTATATTAATAAGTCGTTTCAGTTAACCCACATTTCTCAGTCATCGATAACATATTGAGCTCAGTCAAATTTAAACCATCCACGCTTTCAGTTGTACTTTAGCTCCTATTCAAAAACCAATCAAATTGCTATAAAACTATTTACAAACAAAAGCTTAAGAAAACATTGCAATAATTATCGATAACCTGCTAAAATGGCTCGCACAGTAGCGTTCATGCATGCCATGGAACAACGACAAACGTTTCATTTCATTACCATTCCATTCGTTCCAACTCGTTCGCGTCAAGAGCCAACGAGCGTAAAATTGTACAAGTTAAAAGGAAATTTTTGGGGCCGACTGCGATGACGATGCCGATGACGATAACAAATTGGTTAGCCGAAGTGCGCAGTCGCGCGTGTGTGAGCAGAGAGAGAGAGAGAGAGAGACTATAAAAAGCAAACAAAAAGTAAAATTAGTTAACCATTTGCGGTGCACAATACACACACACACACACATAGACAGAGAGTTAGCTGTCATAAGGTGGACTGCGGGCAAGAAAGGGGTTGCTAGGGCCTAGAGCCAAGACTGCGACTGCGACTGCGACCGCGAGTGGGTCGGGCGCAGTCAGGGTCAAAACTTTAGGGCAGCCAGCACGCCATGACCATAAATCTTAATTGTCGACGCAGGCAAGCGAAACCGCCGACGCTGGCGCCGCAGCCGGCGTGTCAGGGCGACAGCGTTTGCCAAGTTAGTTAGTCAGTCAGTCATATAGTCAGCTCTGGCCACTCGGTGGGTTGATTAGTCTTACGACGTTCGCTCTCATTGACTGCAAATCAGCAATTGAAGGTTTTTTTTTTTTATAAAATCCTTGACACTCTCCACTCGCTACTCGTTACTCGTTACTAATTACTCGTTATGGATGAGTTGTGTTGACTAAAGCCAAATTTGTTATGTTATGATTGATTTTGTTGCAACATCAGTTTATTACTTGCTGCAGTTACTCGTTGCTGCTTATGCATCTCTCGCTACAAGTTACTTAAATAAATTGTAGGTCATTCGGTATTTACTACTCGTTACTCGCTACGCGTCAATGTGAATATAATTCTAAGTCGTGCATAATCGCGTTGTTGCATTCATTCGTTACTTGCTAATCGCTATTCGTTACTCGTCGCTCGTCGCCACTCGCTTCTAAGGGACTTAAACAACGAATCTTCACTCAGTAGAGTTTAAGCAGTGACTCGATACTCGCTACTCGCTGGGTGAACGCAAAGACTAAAGCAACAAGCGTTTCGTTACAATTTCCAGAGCAAGTGGATGAGAATCATGCCAGGGCTAGGGCAAAGAGACTAACAAAACGCAACGCAAACCAAATACACAATAATCTAATTAACAAAAAAAAAAAAGAAAGGCAACTGAAAATTCAATTCAAATACCAAAAAAATACCAAAAATAAACAAGTCTAACAAGGCAAAAACAACAAAAACCCTAAACAACAAGAGCAAGTGGCAGCAGTAGGAGAAGAAGAAGCATGAATTGCGGTGCACTGCGCACAGTCAACGACGACGCGCAGCTGCAGTCGACAGCAGCGTCTCAGCAGCAGCGCAGTAAGCAGCGTTTGCAGCAGCAGCAGCAGGAGCAACAACAGCTGGAAGCACAGCGCAAAATGCACTCAATGCCGCGCACACCGACAGCGCAGTCGCAACTGCAGTCGACGTCGACGGCGCAGTGTCGCGTCGTTGCCATGGAGCAGCCGTTGCGGCGCAGCACAATGCCGCGTGGGCGTGGCCTTGCCTCCTGTTTGCGCGGCGAACGCGACGATGCGCCAACGCCGCCCGTGCACGAGGTGCACTGCGAGCTGCAGCAGTTCCAACTGCAGCAACAACAGCAGCTGCAACAACTACTGCAACAGCAACAACAACAACAGCAGCAACAACAACAACAGCAGCAGCAGCAGGATCAACTGCAATCGGGCAGCGGAATTCAGCCCCCAGCAGCAGCGACAACAGCAACGCTAGATGCAGCCGGCAGGAGTAAGTAGTCGATCCCAGTGAATCGGAGAGTTTCCACATATATGTGGATGCACTATAAAGATACATACCATATATCTAGCTGATTTAGGAAGTGTTTGTACAGTACTTCCATAGATAATCAGATATGGTTTTATGTGTATAGACAGTTCCATTCATATACAAATATGGAACAGAATCTAGAATTGTTAGTATATCACTAAATAAATATACTGGTCCATTAAATACATCGTATAGACAATCCAACAGAACTGAAAGTCATATATATATATATATATATATATATATATATATATATTGTATATATATATATATATATATATATATATATATTGTAGTAGGCCAGTAAGAGGCTTGAGAGTACAGCACTATGGTTAATTAGCAATAGGTACACATATATCCATACTTAACTATATCGATGGCTGGGGCTGTTAATAATTGGCAATTGGGCGATGATCATAGAAATACTTGATACAGATGAAGAAGCAGAGCAGGGCGGAACTCTATAATATATACATATACAATATGTATATGTTCAATAGAATCTAGTACACCAGATGTATTATATTGACCTAGTATATGAAATATAGTCAAGTTTAGAATATGATTTTTGTGGATGGGGGACTTTATATGTACGTATACGAATCCATTCTTGGTACATCATAGATCATCTGATACTAGATGAATATATACATAATCCGCATACACAATATATACATATATTAAAGGGTCTCCATGTACAAGAATTTTATAGAATGTAAAGTATATTGTATATGTAGTATAAAAGCATATTATGGTCAAAATAGGAATCTGGTATAAATACTATATATTATATTGTAGATATTTGATATACGATAAAGAATCGATTTTATAAGTATATAAACTATATTTATACGAGTCTACGCCATATGCATCAATATTGATACTTTATAGCGTAACTAGATCAATTGAGCTACTCATTATCATTTTATTGAATAATTTACTATAAAGTACTAGTTCATACTAGTCTGCATATTAAATGCTGCAATGAACGCTCATTTGTTCATGAGCGACTCTATGCAGAGCTATCACATTGGCCATAAACGATTCGATCAGTTCAAAGGTTCATTAACGAAATGCTTGAGTTGAGCTCCTCATGCTGTTCAAAGTGTTCGCTTGAGTTATTTATATGTTGATCACAAGATCAACTGTAGAGCTGAGCAATATGAATTGTTCATGAAATGCCGAACTGTGAACTAATTGGACTAGTTTTTAAAGATCATGTGCATACTTTGAAGGCAACTAGATATACGATGTACAATATGCGATATATGATGTACGATGCACGATATGTGTCATAGGATATACAATATACGATATGTATTGTCCGATATACAATTTAAGATTTATGATGCACAATACGATATATGATATGACATGGGATGTACTTATGGGGATATATAATGATATTAGTATATATATGCCGGTTGTATATATTGTCACATGTAGCTCAGTTTAGACTGGTAAACGATAGATAGACGCACTCTCATTGATTCATAGACACTATATCTAAATATATATATAGATGTTTTTATATAGCCACTATGCGTACAGTTTTCCGGAACGAAATTGATCATAAAAATGAACCAAATGGGAATGAGAAGCAGAATAGTAATTAGAATGAGAATGAGAATGGGAATTAGAATTAGAATGAGAATGCGAATGCGAATGGGAATGTGAACTATATAACTTGACAAAGTGGGCTCGCTAATGTATCATATTTGATGATACGCACTCCATGATGCCAATGACATCATCGGCTACTGAAACTGAGCTGGGGACGGGGCGGGATGGGACGGGGCTGGGCATTTGCTTTGATGTCATTAGTATGCGGCTCCGCAGAATTTACAGTTTATGCGCGAGTGAGAAAACGTGCGAATTATAAGCGCCAATTGGCAGCAAAAAGGGAACGAAATGGCAGCGAAATGAGCTCTTGCTGCTGCTGCTGCTGCTGCTGCTGCTGCTACTGCACTCTGCTGCCCTAGCGTTAATCGATGTTGGTTAACGGTAACTGCCGTAACGCTGACCATGCAACATTCGAGCCAAAGAACTATCGCACACATAATCCGTTCTACTATGGGCAACCTGTACGGGCCAGATCCGCTAGCAGGGCCGAGCGAACATCAAACAGCAATTAGACAAAGGAACTGAAACGATACGCAATGATATGAAATGGAATGAGACGCGTTTCCATTGAACTGGAAGTCAAGACAAGTGAAGAAATTTTATCACACATATTAGGGAGAGGGAAACAGAGAGCTGGTGGAATGGGGTGGAATGAGCGGCCTGTAATATTCTTAAGAACTGAATGCAGTCAATGAATATAGAGAATTGGTTGAATCATTGAATGATTCTCAGCTTTAGAGCTGAACTGCCTGAACTCTCCTTTTATGCGCAGTTTACAGCCGGCACTTCCTTGGGGCGCGACAACACATGTTGATGATTAGCCAAATACCCTATAAATTGTGTGCATTAATCATAGATCTATACGTGTGTGGAAAATTCACTTTGTTTATTTAATTATCTAGGATTATATTATATTTTTCCATTATTTACTAGGCCCTACTATTAATGTTGATGTTAAAAATGTCATATCTCTAGAGAAATATGAATGGAATGAGATCAAGACATACATCAATTCACTGGAATGTTAAAAAGATACGCTTTCCAGTTTGCTCTTTGATCTCATACAGGAGGTTAACAGTGAGTACAGGGCAACGGTTAGTCGAGCAAATAAAATGCTTTCTCTGATGTTTGATCACTACGTCAGAGCCTGCTCTCAATGGGATGGAAAGCAGATTCAATGGAAGTATGGCGCGAAAGGTGTGGGGGGGGGTCTAGAAGGGATTGTCGTGGAGCCGACGACTTTCTAAGCGAAGGCCATGCCAATGCGCATTCACACACGTGCCGCACCCCTGGCACCCTTTGGCCCCTGACAGCTTTGACAGCTGCTGCTACTGAGTGCGCGTATCTTTTGTGTAAAAGTATCTGTATCTGTATCTGTATCTGTAGCTGTAGCTGTATCTCTGGCTGTATCTGTAACTGTGCGAGCCGTCTTTGTCATTTGACGACACATTTGTGTATGCACATAAATTGTGCTTGACGCTGAATTGGCGCATTTTGTTGTTGTTGTTGCCGCTGCTGTTGCTGCTGTTGTCGCCTCGCTGGCTATTCATATTTTGCATATTAATTGAAATGAATTCACAACAAGTTGACACTGCCCCGCAAATTGGAGCCAAAGCGAAAGGTCAGACCATGTAAATGGGTCGGTTTGTGGCTGGCTATCGCAACGACTCACAATTCACAATTACCGTTAACTAAAGACCCCTTATCTAGGCATACATTATATTGATAATGTTCTCGACAATGTTTTTAACCTTCATTCTCTCTCTCTCTTTCTTTGTTGCAGGTGAGTACAAATCGAAGACATTGCCCCGCATACACTTCGATACGGCACTAAACGATACGTCATTAAATGAAGGTAAACCTATTTTTGTTTTGGGATCTCCAATGGGAAGATATATAAAGTCGATATAATAATTTATCTGACTTTAACTGCCTAAATTTTATTAGATGTCACCATTTAAGACTATCGATAGCATCGATAGCTTTATAAGCGTCATATTAAAATATGTGTATCAAAGACAATTTAATTCAATGCCCAAAACATAATTCGCAATTGTGCTGTAATAACCATAAACATATAAGTATGTTCGTCACGCGCCCATCTCTAGGCACGACTCGCTAGCTGTCTTTGCATACTTTGAAGCGCTTGCGTAACTGTTTTGCATTGCATACTTTGTGGCTGTATATGAGGTGAGACTAGTGGAAGGGGGAGAGAAAATAAACTGTAATATTAGTTGGACCCGCATTAACAGTTCGTTGTGCTGTTGACATACGCAAGTGTAACACAAACTCAACTGAAAAAGGGAATGGAAATGGAAATGAAAATAGAAATGGAAATGGCTAATTCCAAGCTTCATAAATAAGTCGCACAGTTCCGCTAAAGGTGCCGAGGATATAGGCAACGGCTAGGGCCGAACGTGTCGCATACACGTAAGATACAAAAGTCACGCACTTCCGTTAAGCAGCCAACCGCTGCTGCTGCTGCTTGAGCGGGAGTGAGAGGGAAGTAGTGAGAGAGGCATGGGGTGGGTTTGGAAATGTACGCCTCTAATTTGCTTATTATGCGCCGTCTATGTGCCCAAGTATGTTCCCAACACACACACAGACACACAAATATATTGGATAAGAGCGTGTGCCTGTGTATGTGTGTGTACCTGCGCTCAATTACGTTCAATTACGAGCCACATTGCCGCTCGCGCACTTTTGCCTTATGGCTTATGC